TAAGGGGCCAAGATAGAATTCAATTCACCTGGACAGTATTCAACCACTCTTGAAACCATCCTTTCTCTTTCCTGTAATCCTCTGCCTCTTTCATTACACACTTTCCAACTTGGACAATTCATAAAAGCAGGAATATTTCAGAAAATAATCTTCTACACTAAATAACCCCTATTAAGATGTTTTTCTTAAAAATATATGCTCTATTTAAAATAGGATTTAATTCAGGAAACACCTATGGTCTTGGCATTACTCAGGAGGCCAAACTAGATGGTCACTGTGGTCCCTTCTGGCCTTGTAATCCATCAATTCCCAGAGCAAATCCATCCTGGGCAGACACTGAGGCAGGCAACCTTAATTATAGCATTTCCTTACTTTTGAATGTTTGCTTTACTTTACAACCTTTATTATTTTGTTTTGACAGTTTTTGTTTGTAATTTCCTAATTTATTAAAAAAGCAAACAGAAAAATCAGAAACCTCACTATGTAGTATCATTTTGGCACCCACATGGGTCACCAGCATGGTTGAAACCCTTAGATCTACTATATGCACATCTAGCCCTTGAGCTAACAGAGTAACTGATAGCAGTGGTTAATTGTAACCCTCTATGTGAATCAACACTAGAGGAGGAAGAGACATTGCCAGTAGGTTTCCACAGATACTTACTGATGTCAGAGAAAAGATACCGGGGTTCCATTCCATGCTTGGAGGCAGGTAGGGGCTGTGTGTTCTAGTAGGCACAGACTCTTCTGTCCATTTCATTCCAGAATACAATATATCTTTCTTCCCAACTTGGCCCTGACACATTCCTATATCTTCCCCACCCCGGTACCACATCTCAGTCTCATTCTCCCAGTCCCAGTTTCCACTCCTTAACATTTATCATTCCAGTCCCAGCCCTAGTCTCAGCATCCCTGACTCTCTATCCCAGTCTCTACGTCTCCCTCACACCACAGGACTAGTCTCAGTTTCCTTGAGTAGCCATTTCTACTTCCCTCTCTCCTCCAACGCCTTGTTCCGAGTCTCCTTGTTGAGTAAGTTTCAGATCCTCCCTTTCTGGCTTCCAGTTGCCTTCTACCTACATTCCCTATCCTCAATGCTCCCTGTCCCAAACTCCCTCCTTGGCCTTTTCATCCAACCACAGCATCCCTCTACATTTATCCAACCACTTCATTGTCCCAGTCTATTTCTCCAGCCAATTCCATTCTCCAGGCTTAGGCTCTTCATCCAGTCTCTTCACTCACCTTCTTCCCTTTCCACCTTTTACCCAGTGAATCAGTCTCCCCTCATCCCCCCATCCTCTTGTCAAACCAGGCCCAGATCCTGCTGCTCCACCACCCACCAGTGTCCAGTCCCAGGCTCAAACCTCTCCTTGTCCCAATCTACTTCACCCCACCCGCACAGGTCCACCTATTGTTCCCTCTTCATTCAAATAAGGCAGCTTCTTCCACCATGCCAGAGCCCAGCACAAGGGTCATTGAGAACACAGAAGAAATTGCCTTACTGCTTTTAATTCAGATGCCCAAACCTGGCCCATAGCAGCACAGAGCTGTAATTGCAAAGAAAGTTCTGCTCAGACCTGGAGAATGTTCAACTCAAATTGAACTGTCAGACGCTTTAGCTGCTAAAATCTAAGAAGTCTGCACTGAGCATGTGCATACTGAGTTTTTTTCAAAGGCTTCTAACTCGTCTTAAACTCAGATGGATTTCCCACAGATAACAAAAAGCACTTTGTTGTCACAGACTGCCTGTTTGATCATTTTAAGTTTCCCATTCCAAAGAATGCTTTTTAATGGCCAGCAGAATTTATCAAGTCCAAAACATATTGTTCCCTAGCCTCATTTTTGATATGGCTGAATTGTTGCAGCTGGAATTAAAACAAAACAAAACACACCTGCCTGTGGCAGATACCTGGCATGGAAAAGTTCAGCCTGAATAGTTCAAGGTTGGCTAAGTTATACGCAACTGGAAACAGGATCTTCTAATGGAAACTCTTGGGCAATCTTAGGAAAAGGGGTGCAGTCTTCCCTGCCTAGAATAATACAGTCTCCTTATCATTTGTATAGTCAAACACATAAAACACATGAATATTATGACAAAAATTTGACTTTTTCTGCAGATGTAAGATTAATAAAACAATTGCCCCATTCTTGTCAGACCATTGGTCTTTTGAAGCACTCCAAGAACAGAATTTTAATATTCTCACTGTATGCCAATAACTTAGTAAGGTTAGAATGGAGAGAGGTAACTAGTGGTGTTCCCCAATAATTTATACTGGGACCCTTCCTATTTAACCTATTTATAAATGATCTGGAGAAAGGGGTAAACAGTGAGATGGCAAAATTTGCTGATGATACTAAACTGCTCAAGATAGTTAAGACCAAAGCAGACTGTGAAGACCTTCAAAAAGATCACACCAAAACTAATTGATTGGGCTACATAATGGCAAATGAAATTTAATGCTGATAAATGTAAAGTAATGCACATTGGAGAAAATAATCCCAACTATAGATACGATATGATGGGGACTAATTTCTCTATAACTACCCAAGAGAGAGATCTTGGAGTCAATGTGAATAGTTCTCTGAAAACATCCATTCACTGTGCAGTGGCAGTCAAAAAAGCAAACAGAAAGTTAGGAATCATTTAAAAAGGAATTGAAAATAAGACAGGGAATATCTTCTTATCTCTATATATGCCCATGGTACACCCACATCTTGAATACTGCATACAGATGTGGTTGCCTCATCTCCAAAAAGATATATTGGCATTGGACAAGGTTCAGAAAAGGGCAACAAAAATGATTAGGGGTCTAGAACTGGTCCCATATGAAGAGAGATTAAAAAGACTGGGACTTTTCAGTTTAGAAAAGAAGAGACTAAGGGAGGATATGATAGAGGTCTATAAAATCATGACTGGTGTGGAAAAAGTTAATAAAGAAAAATTATTTACTTGTTCCCGTAATATAAGAACTAGGGGACACAACATGAAATTAATAAGTAGCAGGTTTAAAACAAACAAAAGGAAATTTTTCTTCATGTCAACCTGTGGAACTCCTTGCCAGAGGATGTTGTGAAAACCAGGGCGGGGGGGGCCCACCCCGCGGCTCGCGAGCCGCATGTGGCTCTTTAAAGAAAAAATTGCTGCTCCAGCACCTACGGCTCGGGGCTCTGAAAGGGGCAGCGTGTTTCTGTCTGTACAGGACGCTGGTGCAGACTTCAAAATGGCCACCCTTAAAAGGGCAATGCCCGCTGTTCTTAAAAGTGCTTTTTTTTCCCTCGCAACTCTTTTCCCTCGGCTCTTTGTGCTGTATCCACCACTATTTTGGCTCTTCATCTGTAATGGGTTGCCCCCCCAAACTAGATAAATTCCTGGAGGTTAGGTCCATCAATGGCTATTAACCAACATGGGTAGGAATGGTGTCCCTAGCCTCTCTTTGTCAGAGGCTGGAAATGGATGACAGGAGAGGGATCACGTGATGATTACATGCTCTGTTAGCTCCCTCTGGGGCATCTGTCTTCCAACAGTGGCCAATGACAGGATACTGGGCTGGATAGACCTTTGGTCTGACCCAGTATGGCCATTCTTATGTTTCTTATAAGCAGAGTCCTACCAAATTCATAGCCATGAAAAATGTGTCGTCGGACTGTGAAATCTGGCTAATGTTGGAGAGGACAGGACAGGGGGTGCCCTCCCAGGGTCTCCTATCATGCACCAGGCTTTGGATGCTAATCCCAGCCTGGAACTTCCTCTTCCTGTGCAGGAGCCACTCCCAGAGCCCTGTCAGACTCCCTGTCAGACTCACCTCTGGGAACCTCCCTTGGCTGCAGGAAACTCTGTAGCTCTAGGCTGGGAGTCCAGCTCTTAAGGCAACACAGAAGTGAGGATGGCTGTAAGCCCTGACCTTGGTGAGAGACTAGGACCCCAAGTTTAATAATGGAGAGATTGCCTATTTCCTAGAACTGGAAGGGACCTTGAAAGGTCATTGAGTCCAGTCTCCTGCCTTCACAGCAGGACCAAATACCATTCCTGACAAATTTTTGCCCCAGATTTCTAAATTACCTTCTCAAGGATTGAACTCACAACCCTGGGTTTTGCAGGCCAATGCGCAAACCACTGAGCATGAGGCTACTAGAAAAATTGGAACAAATGATAACCAACTTCCCATAGCCTGCAACTCTTACTTCTGAACTGCTGCTGGCTATGATGCTGGCTTTAGAGCTGCACACTCAAGCAGCAGCAGCTGCTCTCCAGCTCCCCAGCTCTGATGGCAGCATCCCCACCAGCAACAGCAACGCAGAAATTAGGGTGGCAATCCCACAATCCCCCCCTTCTTGCCATGCTGAATAGCTTTGCTACCCATGCGCCCATGGCATCCTTTTGGGTCAAGACTCCCACAGTTGTGAAATATCAGGTATAAACATCTGAAACTGACTATTTTAAAAATCCAGTGATCTTGAAATTGACCATAAAAGACCCTGAATAACTGGCAGAGCCCTAGTAATAATGAAATTTAAATTATCAGATAAAAACAGAAGTTGAGAAAAGTGAAAATTTAGGTTCGCAAATAACAAATGCACACTGTGGCCAAAAAAAAAAAATCAAAAAGAAAAGGTAAATTATCACGATACTAAGATATTAAAAATAGAAATATACCAGTTTGGGAAGTGGGGAAAATCTGTGCTATTTTGCAACTTGATTTTTCCAGTTTAGCACCCTGCTTATCTTTTAGCTCCTGTAGACTTATTTCATTGTTTTAAGTAATGTTACTTTGTAAGTTCTGATAGATGACTGAAATATTTAAGAAAACTACTGGAAATGGAAAGAATTCTTGAGTGTTGCAAAAACAAAGTGTTGGATCCACAAACTAAAAAAAAAAAAAAGTGTTGCATTTCATCCTTTTCTATCAATGTTTTAAATAAACAAACATGCTACTTTACACAATGACAATAATTATTGCATTAACATTTATTTCTGGAAACCACTATCAATTTGTCCTTACCATATATTCCATATTAGAAGCTGGTGGATACACCTGACTCCGTAATTTATTATGAAGATCCAAAATACTTTGCATATCACTGTCTGTGATAGCCCTTTTCCCTCTTTGCTTGGCGATCCACCACTCACCATCCTCATCCATGTACTTTTCCAAAAGTTCCTCTAATAAAGTATCATTGGGAAGAACCATTGAAGAAACTGTTTGAGCTATGAATAGCAAGGCAGTTACTCTGAGCCATTCCTGTGTTACACACTTCATGATGAATGACCTCAAAACTCCCCAGGGTTAATTCCAAGACAAAGTCTTTCTTCCAGGTCTGTTGGCTGCAAAGGCATAAGAGAGAGTAAAGTGATTCTGAGGTTAAAGTGTTGGCCTGACTTAACCTATTAAATAACAAAAGTCAAACTGTAGTTGGGAGGGGAGTGTGCCAGTGTGGTTTTTAGGAAGACAAACCAAGATGCCAGAGAGCATAGACACTTATACTTTTCACTGTGGCTTGACCTCATGAATTAAAAATCATTCAGGTAGTTGTGTAAAGCACACTTAAGGGTCTGCATAAATAAAAGCTGTATTTTCATAAACTGACATTACCTGATGCTGCCTCCTTTAAAGTAACCTAAATTCGATTAAATTCATCAAGTCCTGTTATAATATCCCAGTTTATAAATATCACTGTTTTCAAAAGAAAAGGGCTTTCAGCGAATCCCAAAATGAAAACAACCCTCAAAAAGAATGAGAAATATGCTTTAAAAATCAGAAGTCTCAAATCTGATGTTGATCAAAAGCTTTTTTTTTTTTATTATTGAAAAAACATTTTAAAGCTCCAGGCTCACAAAACTGATTACTAAAATCCATGAGTCAAAGAGGGTTTGTTTACTATGCTTACAGAAGAACTTGTTTTAAAAGAGGGTTTTCAGATGCAGTTCTACCATCAAGAATATTCTTCTGAAGCCGGCTACTGCACTTTGGAAGTCTGGAAAGCTGCAGTGCTCGTTCTCCCCACCTCTCCTCCCTCCAGTTCAAAATACACTGTGGCACCAATCCCCTAGCACGCCGGTTATGGACCTAGTGGGGGGGGGGAGGGGGAAACTGTGGCATGCTGAAGAAATGCACAGAGAAAGGCTGCAGAGGTGTCCAGCGTCCTGGCGTTTCAGTGGGGAAGATTCAGCGTGAGATGCTACTGGGCCAAACTTCCCTTTCCACACCGGTTCCCTGAAGATGCTAAAAAGCGAAAGCCTGGCGTTGGGGCTCCCACTCCTATGGGAAACCCGCACTGGGCAGGCTTCTACGTGCCAACCACACGCCGGGCTTCTGCGGGGAGTTCAGACTCAGCCTGGGCGCTTCCCCTTGCCCCGTGCTGCACGGCCCGAAGCGGGGAGAAAACCCTGCTCTCCCCCCTTCCCCGCCCCAGCTCCCGCCGCCCGTGCGCGGGAAAAGAGTGCTGCTTGCGGGAGCTCCGGCTGAGCCGCCCCCTAGCCGGGCTGAGCCCAGCCCTTACCTCTCCCGGACTTTCGGGCTCCAGCGGCCACGCTGCGGCCACCCAGCCACCCCCGAGCTGGCTCCGCCGCCCCGCCTCTCGGAGCAGAGACGCGCTGGAGCCGAGCTAGACCCGGCGCCTGCAAACTCGGCGAGAAGTTTGCGCCCAAGTCCCAGCACCTCAGCGCCGGCACTTTCCCTGCCTCCCGCGCTGATCGTGGGAGTCTCGCTCGCTCCTCGCGGGGCCCCCTCCTGCTCCCTGCAGCTGCCGGTACCAGGAGCTCAGCGCTTCCCCTTTGCTCCCAGCCATTTATCCCGGGCCCAGAGCGCGCCCCCAGTGACGCGCCCTGGCCAGCCCGCCCCAGCAGCCCGCCCGGCATCGCCAGGGGACTCGGGAAAGGGCTCTGTGCGGTCACTCAGACCCTTCCTGGAGAGGAAACAGCTGGCTCCAGCTGAGCTCAGCTTCCTGCAGATTTCTAAGCCCCTAGTTGTAACCTTAGAGCTGAGAACCAGAGGTAGAGGAGCTTATGCTTCTATACATCTGTTAGTCTATAAGGTGCTACAGGACTCCTTGTTGCTTTTGCAGATCCAGACTAACAGGGCTACCCCTCAGATCACTGAACCAAGCAAATTCAGAACCAGACCCAGAGCGCATGGCAATCCCAGGTCCTGCTGCTGCAATCAGCCAAGTTTCGGCCACAAAGCTCCAAATCTTAAAGCCCAAATCAGGGCAAGACAAGCTACTGCAACTGCAGCAGGACATTCTGGATCCTAGCACATGTGTACTGGAAAAACCCAGGTCAAATCTCTGGCCCTACTCGACGTTTGCCCCTCTGCCCCTTTTGTGTAAATGGGTGATGGGTCTCGTTGCAACAAAAAAATATTTCTGTCCCCAGCAGTGGATATAGGGCAGGGTGAGCGGGGCGGCTTCCCCTGGCCCCGCACTTCAATAGGCCCCACACGTGCTAATTCCTGTTGGCTGTGGCAGTGGTACATGTGCGAGACTGTGCTGCCCTGGGCCCCGCTGCACTCTCATCTGCCCCGGTCTGTCCCAAGGCGTAGCAGGGTGGTGGGTTCAAGTCATGGGAGCTGCTAGCCAGCCAACACAAACTGCCCCAGGGATGGACCAGGCTCCTACAGTAGGAAGGTAGGATAAGGGATCCCCCCAAGATGTGGGGGGTGGACCTCAGATTCAACACATGGAGCCTGCTGGATCCAATCAATTATCATGGAGCAGGAGCAATAGAAGTTTGTGGCCAAAACAATGTGGTGAATGCAGCAATACTTTGTTGTTAAATATGTGTTTTTGCATTGTTCTTACACAGACACTTGTCAGAACCCAGATTTTTCTAACCAAGTCATAAATGGCAACATATGTTGTCTATTTTGATGAATTAGGCACTTGGGTCAGAACAAAACAAACAAAAAAGCTAAACACTTAAAAAACAACAAATAGTCTAGCAGTACCTTATGTCGCAACTTGGTTCATTGATGTGATGGGAGCCCCCAGGGGTTAAAGCCGACTACCCAGTGAAAACTACTGGATGATAGTGAAACAAATGATTTTTTATTAAACAGAATGGTCCTCTCATCAAAAAATCAAGTGACTTTTAAATGAATTTTAAAACTAGCAATAGCCTAATGCTTTTACAGGAGGGGAAAACTGAACCAAACTGCCCTTAACGGATTACAAACTTTGTGATTATAATTCGATTATATTAAATTACTATCTCTAATTCGCTTAAGGCAGCACAGCATGCAAGCAAAAAATACAAAAACAAAGCCAATATAATGATAATAATAACTCGGTCCACAGCCAGCCCCTCTATGGTTATTTTAGGGCAGCTGGTGGAGTTAGTCATTAATCTACCTCTACAATTTAACAACTCCTGGGTTTCTATTTCTAGCACTTATACTTGGCCTAAATACAACACCACTACACAACACAAGAATATACAATTTACACAGTGTGGTTAATAGAACTCAGTTATACTTTACAGAATTACACAGTGAAATTAACACGATTCAGCTATTAACTAACCCAATAACTTAGTATATTTAAGCAATACTTACAAATCCAGCAATGGTAACAGTGTAAAGACACACTAGAACTCGGAGCATGCTCAGAACTCGCCCACCCCTATCTTTGACTCGAAGGGTGGGGAGGCAGCCTCAGCATGATCAATCCTTCAGCCGGGCAAAAAGACACGGGTCCTCAATACACAGAACCTCCCTGAACAAAGGGTTCAAGGGTCTTTTATAACATAACCTGATATCCGGTACCTTATAAGGGTCTGTTCCCTGGCCGGGCCTGATAGGCTGGTAATGAGGTAATGTGCAATATCGCCCTACAGGATTTTTCATGATGCCCACCTGATGACCCCGTGGACAGTGCCAGTGCGGGCATGGTCACTGTGCATGGCAGTTACATCTTATCTCCCTATGCCTACCTCCCTACCTTCAAGGATCGGTCAAGAGAGTCTTAACTATCTCTTGCAGCTGTGCTCTATCTTTTCATGCTCACCTCCCTGTTCTTTGATGCCTACAAAGTTAAATTTCGTTCACAGAAAGCTGCATTGTGCGCTTACAAGTTATGCTTTCTCAGAATGTGTCAGCAGCCTACATTTTCTGCGAGGGGCCTTTGTGTGGCAGAATGGGGCAATGTGCGCACGAGGCCATGGTCAAAAGGACCTGCTCTGCGACACCTTAAAGACTAAAAAAAATGTTGATGTTATCATGAGCTTTCAAGGGCAAAATCCACTTCTTCACATGACTGGACAAACTGTATGCTGGGTACATTCATTCATTCATTGGTACGACTGCCCCATTTTGCAGCAGGGTCTGACATTTTTTGTGCCCTACAAATTTATATAAACACACATGCGCTATACACATTATATAGACAAGAAAATGTAAGGGACTGAGGTTAAAAATTGGATCCATCAGCTATGTCAGGTTTCTTTAGTACTGTTGGTCTGGGTACAGATTTCTCCACTGAAATAGGAGCAGGTTAACTTGTTACCTATTTAGTCTGTATAGTTTGGGGTTTGAGGCAAACAATTATCAAGATCTACCTGGATCCAGGTGCTAGAATCAGATTATTACAGGGGATTGTGCAATAGGATGCATAACAATCTGGAATTTTTGGGTATAGTAGGAGGTGCCACTCTTACTATCCGTTGATGTCATGGAATTTGAGCAGAGGCCAAAATTTGGTTGGCTCTGCCAGATCCAGGTTTTATGATGGTCACATCTTAGGTATGTCTACCTAAAGTACACAACTCCAACGATGTAAATAATGTAGCAGGAGTCAACTACCTGAAGTGTTGACATCATGCGAGGTCAATGGAAGACATTCACTTATTGACTTACCTTACTCTTCTTGTTTGGGGTAGAGTATTGTGGTCAATTGGAGAGTGATCTGCAATTGATTTGGCGGGTCTTTACTAGACTCGCTAAATTGACCGTTGGTGCATCAGTCGCTCAGTGGATGCTGGCTGTAGTGTAGATGTAGCCTTAGTTTGTATTCTGTGTGTGCTTCTGTTCTTCCCTCTGTTCACAGGTATTTTTCTTCAGTCAAAGCTGAAATGTGTGTTTCCATTATCTAATAGCCTCGGAAATGTGTACATCTAGGAACAGAGAAAATAATCCATAGTAACAGGATGAACTCTATCCTGGGAACCAGTGACTCTAAAAAACATGTTGTGGGAGAGCAAATAATCAGTTGAACATGAGCTCCCAATGCAATGTTGTGGCCAAAATGGCTAACGCCAAACTTGAGACCAGACCGGAAGCAGTAGAGCCATCCTGTGGATCCAAAGGGACTCCAGGGACTCATGTGTCACCTTATGGGCAAGTTCTGGGGAAGCTGTGGCCTGGCCAATTTTAGACTCCTGTGAAATCAAAATTAATCCTTGACTCCTGCAGTCTGCCTCCAAACTGTCAGCATGAATATGATATGTGTATGAGTATTGCTCTATCATTAAGAATAAACAAACTTCAATGCTGCTCCAGTTCATCCTTTGACTAAGTTTATTCCTTGGCTGGTTCAAGGACAGATAACAGTTATATGTATTGTGACAGGGCATCTGCCCTGCACTGGCACTTTAAGGGCAAAAAAACCAGCCCTGAGTGAGGGCTGAGTGTGAAGTCCCAGATGAGGCAGTTATTACTAATTAGGGCCCAGCTGGGGGCTATATAAAGAAGGGCTCCTAAAGGAGGAATTGCTCTTGCTCTGGTTGGAGAACAGAAGGGATGTGGCTGCTGGGGAAACTGGAGGCAGGGCAGGGCAGGGCAGGGCAGGCCAGGCAGGCAGGCAAAGCTGGGGAGCTCTGGCCTGACTTCACCCCAGACTGCAGGGCCTGAAGCAAGGCCTGAGAGTACTAGGGCTGCAGAGGGACAGCCAGGAATATGTAGAGAAATTTTTTCATCATCTGAGTAGTACTGTGATACTTTTGTAGTAAAGTTGGCTACTTAGAGCTGGGAGGAGGCAATTGTTTGGTTTTAGGGGAACTGCTGCTCTACCTTGTGCTTAAGAATAGTTTGTCTTCTGTCCAAATTTGTCCCAGATCACTAGGGAATAAAAGTTGTCATTAATGACAAGGTGAGTTGCCATGTAGTTACTAACAGAGAAGTGTCTACATTGCAAACCCACCATAGCAAATAGAACTGTTTGGTTTCAAGACACAACTCAAGCACTCTGACAGGACTAAGCTATTTAGTCAATGACTTTCATTTCGGGAAATGTTTAAAAAGTAATCTATGGTAAATTCCCATGTAAAAAAAGCACTCAATTAATATAGATCTACTGGGAATCTGCTGTTTAGTCCTCACTACAGTGCTGCTGGTCCTTATGAACTAAAATAATATATAAGATAAGGCAACAGAACATCATGAACAAATAGAAGTGGGTGAGAGCAGAAGACAAGGTCACAGTCTTCAAAAATAGTGTTATGATAAAAAAATGCCATTACTTAAATGACAGAAGAAAGATAAAAGAGGGATACAATGATAAACTTTAAAATATCTGTATTCTTCTTTACTCTGATATCATTTGACTTGTTCTTGTCGCATCTAAAACAATATATAAAGACTTAAAAATATACTTTGCCAAATAGAAAAAAGTCAAATATGAAGAACAACTGAGGAAAAAATTGGATCTTTGCAGTCAATGATCTCTAAATATGGTATAATATTTGTAATATAATAGTGCCAAGGCCCTGAGCGAGCATGAGCCCCATTCTGGTATCTTCTCCAAGCTCTCTGCAACAGTGACACTCTGTTGTACAACTCCTGGAAACTGTATAAATGGAAACTTCTCTAAAA